CTCATTGGTCCATCAGTGAGGGGAACCTGCTGCTGCTGAACGAGGCGCTGTCCAAACATGAAACCTTCTTCATCCGCTGTGGGATCTTCCTCATCCTGGAGAAGCTGAAGATCATCACCTACAGGAACCTCTTCAAGAAAGTGTGAGTCAGAACCGTCCAATCGGTCTGCTGCTGCCGTTAGAAGTTGGTGGTTCTGGTTCCAACCGGACTCTGCCTGCAGGTATCTGCTGCTGAGGACCCACCAGCTGCCGCTGGACGCCTTCCTGGTGGCTCTGAAGATGATGCAGGTGGAGGACGTGGACCTGGACGAGGTGCAGTGCATCCTGGCCAACCTCATCTACATGGTGAGCACGCTCAGACATGAACCCACCTGGATCCGGATGGTACCGGTCTGATTCTGGTTCTGCTTCTGCCTCCTGCTAGGGTCACATCAAGGGTTACATCTCCCATCAGCACCAGAAGCTGGTGGTCAGTAAGCAGAACCCCTTCCCCCCGCTGTCCTCCATCTCCTAGACGTCCCTGGATGGACCATGTTCTCCGCCTGTTTTATAAAAATCTGCTTCAATAAAGCTTTCTGTTTGTAGACGTTGGTTTGTTTGGATGTTTTCTGAAAGAACGATCCCACACGCACCTTTAAAAGCATTTATTTACGGTTCTGATACCAGAAACAGAAGAAAAGTTCTGGATCAGAAATCTAGAACAGAAAACTGGGTTTAAAGTTTGAGACATTTTTAAACAAACTGCAATAATTTAGTAAATCGGGCGTAACGGCGGCTGGGTTCTTGGCTCAGCGCATCTCTGGATACAGGCTGACCTGCGCGGTCATGTGCTTCTCCGCCGCCTGCAGCCGCGGTCGGATCCAGTTCAGGTAGCGGGACACTTTGGTGAACACCTGACCGTCGCAGTCTGACGTCGCTGACATGAGCAGGCCGGTCAGGAAGGCCGTCCCCTTCTCCATGGTAACCACCGCCGAGCCCGGCACCAGGCCGCCGCAGACGCCCCCTCCTGGTGGCTCCGGGTTCTGGAAGCTCAGGCTGCTGTTCTCAGGGAGTCTTTCCTCCGTAACATTAGCTCCATTTGGGCCGGTGCTGTTTCTGCTGGCTGTTGTTGGCGTGTCCTGTGAGCCGCCTCCGGACCCCTTCCTCCTCCTCATGCAGAACATCTTGTTGCTCAGCGGGTGCGAGACGCTCAGCTGATTGCGACACTCGCCTAACGGCATGTAAAGCAGCTCCTGGTTCTGGCCCCGCCCCTTTCTGTCTGCCATGCCCGTCCTCCCAGAAATCATCAGGATGTTCTCGCTGAAGTCCTTGCTGGGCAGGCAGAGGTGGATGAGGGCGGAGCCAAAGTTCAGGGGGGTGGTGAGTTCCAGAAGGGCGAGGTCAAAGTCATGCTGGTCCAACTGGAAGCGTTGGTGGAGGAAGAGCGCTCCGACTGGGACCACCTTCCGGTTACCTAGACAACCAGACCCCAAGGAGGGAAAACAGGTTGTTATTCTGGGATGGATGAACAGTGAGAGGATGGATGGATGTTTGGTTCTAATCTGACAGGCTAAATGCTCCTCTAAGCTCATGTTGTTGGTCAGATGTAAAGCACGTCGTCATGGCAACATGCAGCCATGTTGAACATGGAGGCTGTAGTACCTAATTGGACGTAGAATCCAGACGGTCGGAGGTCACCTGACCTCAGCAGGCAGCTAGCGGTGGTCAGAACAGACCGCCTCCCAAGAATGACGCCGGCGCAGAGCTCCACCCAACTGCTGTTGATCAGGGACACCTGCACACACAAACCAAACCCACCACTCATCAGCCATCTTGTCTGGCTGTTATGCTCCGTTCAGACCGCGCACAGCAGCAGCAGCTAAAACTTCATTTTTGATCC